TGAAACTGACAAAAAGTCAACAAGCAACTTTGTCAACTCTTAATCAAATTAAAAAACAAAAATTTGACAAATTGTTCTTGAAACAATTGTGAAAACTCTTATTGCGAAGAAACAGACAATAAAAAATAAAAACAACTGCATTTTATCTGAAATATATACAAATACATAGACTTAAATGAATTGACACGTTTGCACAATGTAAATTGAAGATACCGGATAAAATTTAGAAAAAAAACAACACTTGACTCATTTAAACCATAAAAAAAGCCATTTATAAGAATTATATTGTTTTTTATATGATTTTGGCACATGCGAGATGACATACCTAAGATAAATAAAATATTAAATAAGAGAATAAAGCGCACAGATTTGTCAAGACGTGATTAAAAATTATACGAAAAGCAAAGCCGGCATCATGGCACTTAATAAAAGTAAATATTTTAAATATCTAAAAAAAAAATAAATATATAAATAGTGCAGAAAGATGACATCAAATATTAAACAAAAACCTACGTATGTTGAGATACAAAAGTCAAGCATCTCAAAAATATATTTCAAGATTGAATTCGTGAAGATGGAGACGACGATGATGGAGACGCTTTATTATTAAAATCTAATGCTAACATAATGAACATTATAGGTAAATAAAGCGAAGAATAAACTTAGTTTTAATATTGAAGAAGTGGCAACTACTTCAGTGGTTCAAAATGACACTTGAGTCAATATTAAATTTACACTAACAAAATGTTAGAAAAAAGTATCTTTGAATATAAACTGCTCTTTATGCTTCTTATTTACTTTTCTTAAGATGTTGTTCAGGTGTTGGTCTATGAATATTGGTAAGTTGAAGCAATTTTTTGCCTTCATATTTTTGAATATGAAGTTCATAAAATAAATATTATTTTTATTTATCTTACGAACAAACGAAACAGTTTTATACAATTATCTATAGCCAAAACATTCAGGTTTTTAATAATTATAAATTTCTATTTGATATTTGCTTTGATTAATTGCTTCTCAAACTTAAAAAAGTTAATTTTAAATATGGAAAATAAAAAAAAATATTTAAGGTTCATTAGCTTTATAACGTGTGCACAGATAAGCAGTATCTTTTTTTTACTTTTTTATTTGTATAGCATTTTAGTGGCAAGTGTGTAGCATAAATTTACATTTTTTTAAAATATACTTTTTTAAAAGCTTTATTTCGTATTTAACTTTAAATTTATTTATTTCTGTTTTGTGGTTAAATATGAATTGATATGAAAATATTTAATAAGTATACAAACAAATTTTTAATCAAAAACGACAGCAAATACTTTAAAATGCATTTGAAATTTCTGCCGATTTTTTTTTAATTTAATTAAATTTACAGACAGTATTAAAATTTTATAATGGACGAGTACATTTAAGTACATTTCAGTGGTTAAAGACCCCGACATATCTATTCAATATATAATTTATTTTTTACTTTTAGTATAACACGAACTTTCGACAAATGCTTTCAATATTAAATTTCCCTCCTGCTTTATACTTCATTGAGGTTAACGAACGATGTTACCTTGCATTGAGTATCTCACATGCAGAATGTTTGTATATGAGAAGAACGATAAAGTATCAACTGATTTGTTATGACGTTTGTCCACTATTCCAAACGGAAGCACTCATTCAATGCCTACCGCTGCACATATACAAATTTATATCTATATCTGAAAAAAAAGATATAATGGTTGCTATTTGCAGTTAAGAATGTGGAAAGAAAACTAGATTTTCCTAAACTGGTTGTAAACCGAAAGAACTCTTTTTTCAAGTAGAAAGCAAAATAGGGTTAAACAACTTACATACTGCATAGGTCAGTTACGCGCATGTGGTATTAAAACTGGATTTTGAATTTAACGTTAACGAAGTTTTTTTTTATTACACTCTCTTCTCTTCTTTTTTTTATAGTTTATTCAGATACAACTTTGTCAGGGAACAAGTGTAAATGTATCACAAGTGGAACTGTGTTTACAACTCTTGTTTGTTGTTTGTTGGTGGTTGATATTTCATAACAGAAAATTATTAAATGTAAATTTATTTACTGTACTCTATATATAATAGAATTAGGTCTTAATATGAAATATAATTTTCTTATATGGGACATTTCATTATTTTGACAATTTAAAAATGAATATAACAATTCATTCTTTGACAACTGCTAACCACAATATTACTTCAGCCATAATTTCTTCTACCAATTATAATTTAAAAAAAATATATTTTAAGAATAACAAAAAATAAAAATCGAGATAAAAAAGTTATCCTCAACTTTTAAGTTATATGCTTATAAATAATATTAACACAATAAATTTTTTTTTGTCATTTAACAAAGAATAAACTTCATACAATATAGATATTGTATTCATATGTAATAAAAAAAATTAGAATGAAATTAAAAAGTTTTAACGAAACTTCCATTCACTAACGGAATTAAATGCACGTGAAAAAACAGTTCTTTAGCACAACATTCTATAAAATGGTCTCTCTAACGAGGTACCAAACTCAATCAAATTGCGGGTATGAAACACTATAGTAAACGGGAAAGTTCTTTAGGACTACGTTCTATTTTTAACCCATTAATGGTTAATTTCAGACTTAAAATTTTACGGTAAAATTTCTATGGTAAATAGTAAAATAAAACAAGTTACTTAAATGAGAAAAGTTTAATATTTATTCGAAAGATTACTCTCACTTTCTTTTTATGTAAAAAATATAACATATTCTTTGAATTAAAAAAAAAAAATAAAAAAAAATATTTGAAACTAGCCATGTGCGTACCACACCGGTGGTCCGAAATGAGTTAAACTATTAAACTATAAAATGATCTCTATAAAGAGGTACCAAAACTCAAAATCTTAACACGATTGCAAAAATAAATGTTATCTTCTGTCTAGAGACTAGAGAATATATCTGGAGGCTTGAAAAATTATGAATACATTGAAAATATATATCAATAGATATATCATAAGATATATCATATATCATACATATATCACCACAAAAATATTATTTTGAATATGATCTACTCAGTATGATAGCAAGTGTACCTATGAAAATCAATATCAGAAGAAAAAACTACGATAAATAGACACTTACACACTTCGAAAAGAAAATTCAGTTTATAGAATTATGTCAAAAGCCTCACCAATCTGAATGTTCTCATACCATTTGTACGCGATCTACACACTTATAATATGGGTATATGGAATCGAAATGAGAATTTCAATGAAAAGATCTTAACAGTTCAGTTTAGAGAAAAATTTTTCCCACCCTATGCAGTTACTAAGAGAGATCATTTTAGAATTTAAACTATACTATCACTAGGAAAATAATCGTTGTCATTTGTGTTGGCGTCCAGACCTTAGCAAATTAGAGCCCCATCACCCTCATGAGCCTACTATATACATCTTAGTGGTTATAAACCCATACCTTCAGTGCATCGTTTGTTATACAACCCTTTCGTTAAATTAAAAAATATAAAGCAAGAATATATATCTTTTCATAGTTATTTGAAAATTATTCTGATAAAATAACTTTTTTTTACTTGTTAAGGCTTTCCATTGATTTTTAACACAGTATCTTTAGTGGATCTTATAAAAACATGATTTTAATGTAATGTATATTATTTTCTGTAGTTCTTTGTAAAAAAAACCTCAAGTGAAGTAAATAATTAATAGATTTTAATTATTATTTTTTAAATTTTTCATTTTAATTTTTAAATTCTCTATGGGCTCAAAAATAGTATGGCAAATTAAAATCTTGCAAGTTAAAAGTTTAAACATTGGTACCATAAATTTTAAAAATATATTTACGAATAATTAAATCCAAAAAGTATTTCCAAAAACTACTTATGATGAATATTTGGCAATACTCGAAAAAGACTTTTTCGTCAGCTAAAAATACAATTAAATTAAAATAAAATTCACTATAGTACTATCGTCATATTTAATTTCAAATTAAATTTAAAATTTGACGTATTAAATAATCTGAAATGAAGATGGGCATATTTATATTGAAAAAATATATATTTTTATATTTTTCTATTTGCAGCTATTAAAATAAAAATTTAAAAGCTCTATATACTTTTTATAGATGTTTTTATTGTTAGTAGTAAGTATTTATAGAACTCACTTACTATAAAATACAATAATAAAAAACCACATTTCTAAGAATAAGAATCATAAATTATATGAAAAGAGTTATCTTAACTTTTGAATATAAAAAATAATTGCTCAACAATTAAACCTAATATCATTATTTCTTTGATTAATTTTATATTTAAAAAATTTTTAATTTTTTTAATGCATTATTATAAAATGTGCAGTCATGTGCTTTAATTCATGGCATAAATTAACAAATTTTTTATTATTTGAAGGAAAATCGTTTGAGGTAGTCTTTAATTTCTTAGAGTTAGATAAATTTATTAAACAAATTTAAAATTTTTTTAAGTTCAATTTACGTGACTGCATTTTAATTAATCACAGTTGATGTAGTTTCAAAAAAAATAATGGAAAATTTGAAGAAAATCATGAAAATCTAAATGCATAGACGAAGACAAAGACGAAGAAATCTTCATACATTTAATCCAACTTCCGTGTTGTGGCGTTACAGTTTGTTGGATATTTCAAAATTAAATATTCAAATAATAAACTATACTCGTAAAGTGAAAGACACGTGAAACTAAGCGCAACTTCAGTAGCTACATAAATTTACTTAAAAGTGCAACATATTACATACAGTTACTTAGGTAATGTACTGTATCTAAGCACTTTCTTAGATAATTATATATATATGGTGTATAATTTACACTATTAAAATGCACATAAAATTAATAGCAAGCAACAAACAACAGATCCATATGAAATATGATGGCAAGAGCGAATATATTTCATGCCCATATATGTATAAAATATTTATGGCTTTAATAAAAGCAATATAGTACCGACTTTCGTCTTTCGTCTTACCTGTTTGGTTGGCGATTGATATTTGAATAGACTTCTTTTGGCAGCTGGTGTGTAGGTGTTCTCATTACGTTCGTCGCTTACTGCTTTCACATCTTCTATTGCTGTGCCTAATAACTCATTTTTAAGGAGGCATGAATATGCGAGACTGTCACGTGCGGACTCTCCACAATCCCTTTGTTTCTTGTTGGTCTGAGGTGAATTTTCATTAGATTTGTTTATTGATGCGAAATTTGTTTGCCAATTGTTGTTTGCTCTAGAAAAATACAAAAATAAATAGAAATTAGATTCTATTACTATTACTTAAAAAATTATATATAAAAATACTATTATTTATACAAGAATATTATTTTCTATTATTTATAAATCTATTTAAATTTCACAGTTAAAAATAAAATATATAATTAGGTTAGGTTAGGTTATACCGGTGATCCCTAGTGGATCCACTTAGGCCTATTGGCGCATTGTGATGCCGTATATAAATAATAAAAACCTCAGGGTTTAAAACCACCTAGAACCTTTTGCGAAGCATAAAATGCTCAGGCTCCTAGAGTACTAAATCGCCGACGTGCATGAGCTGGACAAAAACACAAAAGATGAGATGCGCTCTCATCGTCCTCCCCACAGCTACGAAAAATATATAATTAATAATTTCAATAATTCTACAGTTGGATTATGATTTCGTTCTAATATAACAGGGCAAGTGAATTTGTTAATGAACTTTCAAAACAAAGTAACAAAACTCCAAGTTTTGACAGATATGTCAAGTACGACTTTGGGTCAGTTGTGTTTAATGAATATTGACTCTGAGTTTCAAATTTGGCAGAATACGAGTTCAACTTTTGATACTTATAGTCTCAAAAAATTAATTTACGAGTAATTAAATATAAGAAATAATTCCAAGACCACTGACGAGTAATTCGCAATCCTCGTAATAGTTGTATGGAACGTCAAAAATTCAATTATTTAAAAATAATAAAAAATTTTGTTGTTGGAAATCACTACTATTTGATAAAAAAAAAACTTCTCTATTAAAAGCAATAATTTATATTAAGAATTTAGTTTCTTTCATCAAACGGACGTTGAAAAACAATTTAATATATCCAATTTAAATTCGAATATCTCCCAAATTAAGGGAGATATTAAAAATATTAAGAGGATTACATCTATTATTTTTTTTTATTTTTAAATAATTATTATATTATTACATTATCATTATAAATATAATGATAACTACTCTTCTTAACAATATTGTACATAGGTTTTATAGACCTTATTATATTATCATTATAAATATAATGATAACTACTATTTTTAATAATATTGTACAAAGGTTTTATAGAATTGTTATATAAGAAAATATTGCATATCTTAAACAAGAAATTACATTGATTCCCACGTAATAATATGAATTTACTTATAATAATAATATCTGGTAAGATAAAATTAAATTTGACTATGTCAAGATCAAATTTAAACTTAAAAATTTAATTTTAATAAACATAAACCACAATTTTCAAAATTATATTTTATCAACATTAATTATAAAATAAAATTGGATATTAAATTATTAGATACAGACAGCAACGTGATATCCGCAATTGCAAATTTAAGCAAATTTAAATATTTTTTTATTCAAATGAATATCAAATGCATTACCTTGACAAATTGCAAGCAAGGTAAAATTATTGCCAAAACGTTTTTTTTAGTTATAATTTAATGACATTATTTGCAAAAATATGTTATTAATAAAACGAGCGTTTGCAAAAAAAAAAATATTAAACACTATACATAAACAGTAACCATAAATAAACGTGCACTGGAATTAGCAATATATCAAAAATTGCAACTACAATAGCTGAATTTGCAATTTCATAACAAAATATCATTGAAAATTTGCAAAAAGTTACTTTAATAAAATTTTAAATAAATTTTGACAATATTTTCATTGTATTTAATATTTTTATATGAAAAAATCGTAGAGGTAACCAAGTCTATATAATGCTCAAAACTATCAACAACAGTTATTAAATTCATTATATTTTATATTTAACATTTAATATCTAACAATTTCCCTCCTCAGCAGATCAGATTTGAGATTGCTGGTGGGATATTTAACGTGTCACCATAGCCTGCGTTATCACCTTTATAAAATAGGTCTATCCGAAGTGATGGAGTGTCGCCTCTGCTTGGAAGCAGACAAGATTTCCAGTCATATTCTCTGTGACTGCCCAACCTTGATCTGGACAAGGAGGAGGTCACTGGGAGGAGAGTTGCTCTCCCCTTCTGACATTAGGAGGTTCTCAACGGACGACATTCTGGCCTTCATTCGGAAAGCAGAATGTCTTCTGTTCGGTTAGGGTCAGTTGCAGCATAAAAGATCAATCTGGTCGCAGTGCTCTGCTCCGTTGGGAGCTAGTACCCAGTTTATTCTTATCTTATCTTTTTTATCAATTTGATCTACAGTATTCGTCAATATAGGCGAATTCTACTCTATTTTTTTTCTATTCTAACATAACTTCTAACATTGTAGTTCACAATATTCATCTTATGCTTATAAGTGCATATATAAAAATACATATATTTTACCAATTATGTATTCGTTAATGGTTTAACGAATGCTGTAGAGAAAAAGGAATATATTTTATTGCATTTAGTTTTTAAATTTGTTATTTATTCTATTTTTTTATATATATATTTTTTATATATATATTTTTTATATATATATATTTTATATATATATATTTTTTTATAAATATATTTTTTTACTTATTTTACTTATATATTTTAATTTTTTTATAACATTTTAATTTAGTTTAAAAATTTTATTTCGGTTTTTAAATTATTATTTATAATATTTTTCCATATATATTTTTTATATATTTTATTTCATAAATTTAATTTTATTTTTTATTTAATTTAATTTAATTTTATTTTATTTTATTTAATTTAATTTATTTTTTTATTATATATTTTTATTTTATTTAATTTATTTTTTTATTATATATTTTTATTTTGCTTTCCAAATTTGTTATTTATTATATATTTTATTAATGGTATAATCTTTTTTATATATATTTTTTATATATTTTATTTTATATTTTTAATTTTATATATTTTCTTGTTTACATATTTTATTTCATATATTTTATTAGTATATATTTTATTTTATTTTATTCGTTTTTTTATATATATTTTATTTTATAAATTATATATATTTTATTTTATAAATTATATATATTTTATTTTTTTATTTTACTTTATTCAATTTTTATTATATTCTTTATATATATGTCGAAGATGTATATATATGTCGAAGAAAATAACCCAAAAATTTGTTTTTTTTTTTTTAAAAATAAAACATATCAACAAAAGGGCTTCAGTTCAGCTATTGTGATTTATTGCGAGGAACGTAATGTTAACTATTATTTTATTGTTAATGTTAATTATCATTATATTATTGTCTCTCTGTCTTTTTAAACTTAAATAAACTGTATTATAACGGTGAATATCACTATTTACAAAAAACGAAAAGATATCTGCTGATCAGTCACTACAACTTATCAAAATACCATTATTCATATATTACAATCGCCATACTTTACAACGTTTGACAAAGCCTCGTTACGTATGTTATGAAGACAGCTGCATAGCATACAACCGGGTGGATGTATGAGTGCCTAGGTTTGTGAACCTGAGTTTCAAGTTTCAAATTTTAGCACTGGGTAAGTGTATAGGCGATATCCTGATGGCATGGTTTTGTAACCACTTAAGTGAATATGGGCCTATGAGGGTAACGGAGCTCTAATCTACTAATTAGACGATGGATGTAGATCTGGATGTCAAATTACAAATTAAGACTGCAGTTACGTTATTATTATATAAATTTGAACACACATAATAATAATCAAAAAGTATTACTCTTTTATTAGTAATATCATATAATTACTAAAAAATAATTGAAACAAACTATTGATAATTTGAAGAAAAATTATTCTTTAAAAGGAAATCTGCTAACTTATAAAATTTCATGAATTTATTCTTTCTATGGCTACATTTAAGTTAATTCAATTCAAAATAATTTCAATTATTTGTTTATTAAAATGCAGATAACGTATTCCTCACAAACGCATTTGAAGCACTTCTGCTTTTAATAAATAATATTTTCTTGCATTATCCGCCGGAGTCCAAAACCTTTACGAGTCATGGATTGAATTTACACACAACGTGTTATTAAACTGAATGCGCACCTGTGCGTGACGCCCAAAATTTTTATTTTTTGAGAAATTCATAAATGAAATATTAATGAAAATATTATGCAGTAAAAAAATTAAAGTTAAAAGAATTATTAAAATTATGTAAATTTCAAAACATACGGATATGGATATATTTATAGGTAAGTGTGTAATGAGTGTATTTAATATTTATTTGCGTAAAAAAGGTTGACTTATTTTTGATGGGCTCGTGCGGTTAAAACGGAAATTGACACTTTTTTATTTAGCAGGTGTCGTTAGGTTCTTTGTGTGTCATCATTTGCCAAAAAAAGGTTAATATCCGTTTTTTATTTAAACGTTTACTAATTAAGTAACACAAATTCAAATGGGTTTCTTTTTAAATATAAACGTATCGCTTGTTAAGAATATGTATTTTGTTGGCAACTTTGGATCTTTACTCACTTTGCAAACATTGAACTCCCACAACTACTTTAACCAAATAAGGAATAAACAAATATTATCTTACTTATCATTTTTTTTAACCCACACATGAATATTTATCAAATAAGTAGATATAAGTAATTTTAAAAGTTATGTAGTTAATATAAAACTATTAAAGAACATATTAATTGATGTTTTTAACGCACTCAATATTAAACAACTATCTAGTCCTATGTCAGATCATACGATACTTCTGTAGTTAATTTGGAATACTGCACCTCCAAATATTTTAGAAACATGATCACGATATTTGTTCTAAGTTCTTCTTAAATTAGTTTACGGCAATACTATATTTGTTCTTTATTTGTAAGTATAATAATTCCTAACCTATTCTAACAAAGTTGTTGATTACTTATTTATTCAGGTCCCAGCCTTGATCTGGGCCAGGAAGGGATCACTCGGTGGAAAACTACTTTCGCCTTCTGACATTAGGAGGTCTTCAACGGCTAACTTTCTGGCTTTCATTCGAAAAACGGAATGTCTTCTGTTCGGTTAGTGTCAGTTGCAGCACAAAAGATCAACTATGGTCGCAGTACTCCGCTCCATTGGTACCCCGTTTACTTCTATTGTATTCTAAATATTCAAGTTAATGTGAATATAATTGCTCATATTTTCCATTAATTTTCTTATAATCCTTTGGGTATACTCTTAAGCCGTGTGCGAGTTTGAGTAAATTAATGGTAAATTGAGCGAAATAGTAAATTATGCCGAAATTACCAGAAATTTGAATAGAGTAAAATTAGATTATAATTGAATAAGCATTGAATAATTTTTTTTTAAGCTACCAAATCTTTTTTAGGGTTCCAGAACGTTTATATTGGAGTGCATGTCAATGACTGTGTATAATTGTATTTATTCTACTCTTTGGTTTGCTATCTTCTAGAACTACTCATAGTATGTATAGTAGAACCGAGAATGGACATACTTGGTCTACGTCGATATCTTTTATGGTATGTTGTTGGTAACATACGTCAGAGCCTATCTAATGAGCGTAATATCTGTATGCTTATAGTCATTAAAGATTACTATGGTGTGTTTATGTTACAACTATATGTAAACTGTTTGATATTAAATTACCATGAAAGTAATTTTTATAGACCAAGATATTCAATTATTGTAGGTAAGCTAAATTCCAGTTTTAATAATACCCGAAAAAGTGAATCCGAAAAAGCCTGAGTTTTTTTATAAATTTTATACAAATCTATCACAACTGGTGATAGACCCAGTCTGATGTCAAACGCTTTTTGAAAATCAAGTAAAAATATCAAGTACGTAGAAAATGCCCATTTTATACAACTTAAAAATTTAAAAACTCTATTTTAAATTTTATCTCCAAGTGTACATATGGTTAAAAAACCTTACTTATGCGCTTCTTGCACAGAAGAGTTAGTAACTACCAGCAGTGGAACCAACATGCTTTTTCCGATTTCAAGCTTAAACATAATGTTGATATAATACATTAAAGGCGTTTCTAAAATATATATTATAATTTATGCCTTATTAAACTAAAAACAAAAATCTGAATCATATATTTCATATATCATATTTTATTTTTAATTTAGGATTAACCAATATATATGTACATATATATTGCATGTTATATTTACACAATGAAAGTCATTTGTCAAAAGAATTGTTTATGATGTCGCTCCTATAACAGCTTCTCCCATATATTGTAATTAAAAGTGAATTTATAATGAAGTATTATTTTTTATCATTTTTTAATACGTGTGAACAAGTTTCTAACTAAAATCCTGGTAAAAAAATGTATAAAATATGTGAATAAATTGATCAAAAACGATAATAAAAACAACTAACACAATTTATAATAAAATCCCAAAAGCAAAAATAGAAAAAAAAGTATTAATATAAAAAGTTCAAAAAAAAAAGTTTAAATGAAATATATGTGATTCAGAGAGAAAAATAATATACTATATACGTTTATTTAAAATTTCTTTCAAAATTATATTTAATTTAAGAACTTATCGGATATATTTTCTCACATGACTAATAAAAATTCCTGGTCTCAGGTTAAGTTATTACTCGTATCTTATCTCCTATAAAATATTATTTTTGTTAATCTTATGTTTAACAACAATTTGAACAATATTTGTTCACGAATTTGTTTACATAAAAAATGCATACATAGAATGAACATAATTGTAATAAATAATGTTTTTATTAATAAGAAATATTGTATATTAATCACACGTATAATACATATAATATGAATAAATTTTTAAATTTATATATTTTTTCAGGACAGAAGTAATAAAAAAAGTTAATACTAGTTGAGAAATAATTTATTATCAGACAAAATATTTATTACTTTTTTGGAGTACATATAGAATGAGAACAGAAAAAGAACTTATTTCTTTATAGTGTTCAAACATTAAAAATTATGTTTAATCGATAATAATTGATTGCTAATATAAAAACATACTATTAAAATATTCTAATCCGACTTTGAACCCACAAAAATATATAAAAAACAATAAACAAGAAGACACGACTATAATATATACATATACTACTACCACATATTCATTGTGGTGGAACGTACAATGAAAATATCCAAAATAGATCATCTTAACAATATTTGATACTATTTATAAAATAAATGTTATCTATAGACATAACAGATGCTTTCAAATAAATGTCTAAGGTAAATCTGTTCACAACGAAATGAATTTTATGAGTTAATATTGGATTTCCGAACATATTTTAAAATTATCAACATTTCTCCAACACTACTTCCCCAAGGTAACTGTCAACTATAAACCCAGACATAGTAACTACCACAGTAACGGTATAACATATGAGCTGCATATACTCGTACATTAGTAATTTTGTATTAATTATTCTCTAAGTATTTACATATATACCTGTAAATCTATAATCCACTCTTTTACTTGAAAAACCACAAATAAAGTGGGACAAATTGTGTCAAGTCTAAAAACATTTGGACATCCATAAATATAGCTAGAACAAGCAAACTAATTAACTTGAAAGTTAGAAATACTCCATCTTTGCGGCTGCCACCAAGAAAAATAGATGTAGTCATCAAGCTTTAAACTGTAGTACAAGTGTTTAGTTTGGGCTTGAAGATGACCTACAATTCTTCGAAAACCGTGCTTTAAAGACTCATATTTGAAACTCATAAGAAATTCACAAAATTCTAAAAAAAAATTAATTAGTTAAAATTAAATTAGTAGCTCTTGAATTAAGAATCGAAATCGTCTAGAAAACAAAACTACTAGGTGGGCGAGTTTTTAAACAAAAGCCTCAAGTGAGGCTCACAACAAGAGACCCATAGAAGTTCCATGTAAACTCTGTTCCCGAAAAAGAAACTATAGTGTTTAGATCAAACAAATATATATGTATATGCAAAGTCAATGTTAGTATAAGAACCCACCTAATGTGTGGGTTTACGTAAAAAAGAAACTCCAATTTTAAGTTTACACAAATATGTATATACATGCAAAGTCAATATTTAAAATTAAAAATATTATTTTTTTTTTGCCGAAAGTGATGTGTCTTATAACGAAAACAAACTATTTAATGATTAGAAACGTTCAAATAGAAATGAAAATACAACAACAAAAATTTCAATATTTTAACTAAAATTTTTGTTATTATCTGTTCATTTCTATTCGAACCTTTTAAAAACATTATATATTATAATAGGTATTCTAATCTGTGTATCAAAAACAGCCTTATTATTTGTTTTCCATTGTATCGATACAACTATAATATAGCAAAACAAACTTTATTTTATTATTTAATTTTCCATGGCACTAATCCCTTTTATATGTTGTAAATAACGTATACAAATTTTGTTTAAAATTGATTATATTTCAAATGTATTTAAAATTACCTATAATATGTTATGTCGGACAAATTATTGGTATTAACTATTTATGCTATCCCATGGTACGTAAGATGAGCGGATATCCACAAAGATCTGAGAGTCGATTCAGTCGAAAATTGTTCAATATAATTGACAGTCACAATAATCCAACACTCAGCACCCTAAGAATTCAGCGAAATCTGATAAACACAGGCAGATACAAAGACATCAGATCCATCATAATATAAAGCCTCGTATTCAGTTATTCTTAGTGTGACTTAAAACTGATCACAGATAAAATAGAGTTAAGGTGTTGTATTACCAACTCAGACATCTGCATATCAATACTATCAATATATATGCTAATAAGATAAGTCTTATTTTTATCTACACAAAAGCTCTATATCGGATTGTAGATATTAAATGTTTTGCAAAGATTAATTAACTATGATTAAATAATACAAATAATTTATTAACCCGATAGAGTCAAAGCGTACTCGAAATATAATAATTCAAAATTAATAAAAATGTTAAATTAACTAATATTACAATAATTTTTATTATAACTAATCAATATATAAGATATATTAAAATATAGAGCTCAGATCTATGGTGCTGGCAAATTATCGAAGCGTTACTTTAATAATTACTTCCACTTGCTTCTACCACTTAAAACAGCGGTTATATTTTTTTCATAGCCTAACTTTAACCAAAGTGTATATTTAAAATAGCCAAAGAAAAATGGAAAAATGGAAAAACGTTAGTTACACACAGCAGTAAACTATGAAAAACTATGAAAAACTCCCAAGCAAAATGCAACGAAGCGACAAAATCTACACTAAAAAATAAAAAACTGAGAAAAAAAGTGTAAATAGAAGAACTGATTTTTCTAACGTTTCACTCAAAGGTTATTGCACTACAAGACTGGCTTGATGAGTTATAAGAAGTCGACTACACTTGTTATGTTCGTGTAAATTTTAATGATATTTCTAATTACTTCTATGTGAAAAAGGAAATATACATTGGAATAGAAAAAATAATGATATTTAAAAAAATAATAAAAAAATAAATTACTTACCTGCAGGGTATAAATCGATCCAATGACGTTGAACTTGAGGCAGCTTCAAATGAATTAAAAAGATTTCTCGCTACGGGACTACAATGTTTTAAGATACGTTTCTCATAATCAGGACTAAACATTTTATAGTAGCAATTTTTTTAATTATTTATTTTTTTCTTTTTTGGGATTATATATTTAAAACTAATTTCAACAAATGCGTGTAAGATCAGCTGGCGTGTTTAGTACAAAAATTTTAAAGTCCGCATGAAGAGGTGAATTAATTAAAATTTTTTAAAAAATAAATTAGACGTTGTGTAGATTTAAATCTGAAAAGAATAAATAAATAAAATAGATTAATTTTGATTGAATCAATATGCAAATAATATATTTTTTTCACATAACCATATATAAAAAAATTAATAACAATTTATCAAAGTCAACAAAATCTACAAAGTACAGCAGAAATCTAAATTCGTGAATTAAAAAAAAAATTACAAATTCGTTAAAGCCTTCAAGATACTAAAGAATACAAATGTTATAGATTTCTAGAACACGTTTTTACCAAAAAACAAAAAAAAGACAAACAGAAAAACTTTATCTTTATTAAGTACAACATTTTTTGGTTCTAACTTAAACACACTTTGACAATAATAAAGATCACTCGTGGTCACACTAATCACTCCGATTGGTTTCGTAGTGAGAAATGTAAAAATCATGCTTTGAATTTTTAATTCCAAAAAAAAAGTTTAATATATAAACCACCTTTTTTTTAAAAAAAAAAAAAAAAAAAAAATACGAAATTTATTTAAAATTCTTTCATTTTGTAGTTTGGAGTCTGTGCTTTCATAGTTTGTTCGCCTTTTGATTTTCTAATCATTTTCTTTTAGGTGGGGTACATGTCGGGCATTGGTGGGCAAATCAATCAATTTGCTTGTCATGTTGGACAAATGTTTTGAAAGTATGTTTTCGAATATTTTAAGCCTATTTGAATAGTTTTTTCTTTGTATTTGGTTGAGGAGAATTTAACTTTTATAACTTTTATAAATAGAAATTACCAACGAAGTATGTGAGAACAAAGCTACACCTTAATTTTATATACAAAATACTAATGAGCAATTTAGCAACTTACATGTTTAGATTAAATCAAATTTATCTTTCAATCGAAATAATATAAAAGAAATTTAAATAAAATGTTTATAGAATCATTTAGGATATTGTGAATTTTGTATACAATATTTTAAAGATTTTTTTCTTTCAAATTATTTGAAAATTTCTATGCAAAAAAAAATACAAAATAATTTCTCAACAAATAGGATCGTAGTGTTTGTAGAATAAAGTGGAATAAATTATTATGATAATTTTAAAATTAAATAAAATTTTCTTATTCTCTCATATTATAAGGATATTCCATGAAAGAGCATTTAATTGAAGTGTTATTACAATTTTATACACAAACACTAAAAATGCTATATCACTTGAACTTTTATTTCACAATAAAATACAAATAAATAAAACGTATATCTAATATTAATTTATATGACATCAGGAACAACGATGCCATCAAATACTGAAAAACTACAAAGACTGCAATCTAAAATCTTAATAATGATAACAGGTACACCGTGGTTTATAAAAAAATTTTAACTTTCATAAAGATTTGGGCGTATCAACAGTAATAGAAGAACCTGCTCGATGTAGCCGATAATACCTTATAAAGTTAGAAGAGCACTCTAACCAATCAGCTTATAAACTCCTACAAAGCAAAAGCCACAAACGATTAAAAAAGAAGAATACAATTAATATATAATTGCTTATAGCTAATATTAGAGCTATATCTAATAGCTAATTTCACTTAAATTTTATTTGATCTAAAATACTATAACTTTGTTTAATTTGATTTGGTTTCAATCTAATTTTTTTGTAAATTATTTAATGATTCAATAGTTTTTCCAAAGCTATTGGAAAAAAATAAATTTAGTTTTTAAGATTCGATTCACTTAATGTTAGTTTCTAAACGAAAGATTCAATAAATAATTTATACAAAAAAAAAAAATTTATATATATATCTATATTAAATTAACTTTAATTTATTTTATCAAGTTGCATAGTCAATCCCAACATTTAATTTAGCCAATGTAAACCAGCAATTAAATTGGTTCACATATACATTGTGACCGAAAAGTTTCCGGAAATTTTAAATAAAACGCAAAATTCTTAATCTTCATCAATATTTATTTTATCTCCTTCAAAATATGCTCCATTAGAAGCGATACACAAATGCCAACGTTTCTTCCAATCATCAAAACATTTTTTATAGGCGCTTTCCGGTATGGCTTTGAGTTTCCTCTGCGAATTCTGTTTTACGTCTTCTATGGATTCAAAACGCGTTCCTCTGAGTGGTAATTTGAGTTTGGGAAACAGGAAAAAGTCACACGGTGCAAGATCAGGTGAATACGGGGGCTGTTCGATGGTATTTATTGAATGTTTGGCCTTAAAATCGTTGATAATGTTGGCTCGGTGCGAGGGAGCATTATCGTCATGAAAAATCCATGAATTATCCTTCCACAATTGAGGCCGTTTACGGCGGATATTTTCACGCAAACGTCTTAAAACAGTCAAATAATAGGCTTTATTGACTGTTTGTCCTTCAGGGACGAATTCATGATGCACCACACCACGAATATCGAAGAAAACAATCAGCATTGCCTTGATTTTCGAGCGACTTTGGCGTGGTTTTTTCGGTTTCGGCTCGTCTTTTCCTCTCCATTCCGATGATTGTTGGCTTGTTTGCATGTCGTACTCGTAGACCCATGTCTCGTCACCCGTTATGATGCGTTCCATGAAAGTTGGATCGGAATTGGCACGATCAAGCATGTCTAACGAGACCTGTCCACGATGGTGTTTTTGGAACAAATTGAGGTGAATCGGAAAAAGCCGAGCGTTGACACGTCGCATACACAAATTGTCCACCAAAATCAAACGAGCCATCTCACGACCGATGCCTAGCTCTCGTGCTATCTCTCTAACACTCACATGAGGATTTTTGAACACGATTTCCTTTGCCTTTTCAATGTTTTCGTCGGTGGTAGAGGTCGAAGGTCGTCCAGAACGCGGCATGTCTTCGACGGTCGTACGACCGTCCTGAAAGGCTTTGTACCACTCATAAACTTGAGTTTTCGATAAAACTGATTCCCCATAAGCCTTTTGTAGCATTCGCAACGATTCTGCACACGAAATTTCGTTCGAAACACAAAATTTGATGCAAACTCTTTGTTCAATATTTTTTTCCATTGTTTTTTTCGCAACGCACTACTGAGGTGAACTGGTTTCAACAGCTGCCGTAAACGAACTGTCTGACAGATCGCGCTCATTTTTGGCATAGTAATTAAGGAAAGTGCTGCCAAACTACATAAACTTAAAATATCGAAAAATATACAGCGCGCGAATTTTAAATGAGAATTTCCGAAAACTTTTCGGTCACAATGTATACAGAAAAGTGTACAACAACAGCTAAAGTGTCAACTATTAGAAAATTTTAAAAAAACTTTAATATAATACATTAAAGCCAGACATTAAAAAAGTGTTTATAAAATGGGCTCACTCTAAAAATTTTTTGTCTTAAAATAAAATAAACAAAAATTAACACAACGAATATGAAGCCGCATGGAACTATTATGCATTGAACTAGTATCCAATATAGTTCACATATATAACATACAATTAAATAAACAACAGCCAAAGTGTCAACTATAAGAAAACTACAAAAACAACCTCTTAACCGTGTACTATAACATTTCTAAAACATATATAACAACACTATAATTATAACATTTATATATAGGAATATATATACAACAACTTCATTTTAAGTTTTTCCATACTAATTGCAATATCAATCTCTTCACTTTATTATAGATGCAACTATAGTTCAATCGAATACACTTATATTCAGTTAAATAAACAACAGTCAAAGTATCAACTATTTGAAAATTACGAAAAATCCGTAACATAATTGACGAAAATAATTACTATACATATGTATATGTAAATAGTTGGATCCGTAAAGCACAGTTTTATATAATAATATGAGCAACAGATTTTAACTTGTTAACTCAAAAACAAATACATTTCCCTGAAATGACACTATATAACATATTTTTTTTTAAATTCCAATTTATATTGCAATCTGTTAACATACATATAACAAAAAAAAAAAAATAATACAACATAAATTTTTGTTGTTGTAATTTACTACATTTTGAAACCTCTCTAAAAAAAAAATATTTTAAATTTTACTTGGACTGCAACCTTAAATATTAAACGGCGTGGGTCCAAGTAAACGACTGAAACCGGTTAGGTTATCCATCATTCGGCGCCTTCTTTTTTGAAATAGAATACATAATTTATGCAATATGACAATGAAAGATATAATTTTAATTAGTTGGTAAGGAAGAAAATCCAATCTACTGTTTCAAAAATCTTATTATTTAATCACTTTTCAGGTCTAGACCCTATTAATTGCGTTTTGAACATATTGATATATAAATTTAGAAAAAATTTGAAGACCGCAATTCAATAGGACGAGAGTTAAAATAGTATAAAATCTATTATAAAGTAGAGTAAGGAGAATTAATTCGGTATCATTATATACGAAAGTCAATAATAGTTTTTGATTCTGGGATAATTTTAGGAAATAGCTAAATTATCTGATATTACTACTACTAAAATAGTAGTCGGATGCTGAGTATATATTAGAAAACAGCTTTTTGTTTTTAATTATCTTTAGCTACTTAGAAATTCAAAATGCTGAAGTAAAGTATTTCTTTAGTTATAAAACCAGCGATGATATTTCAGAGCTTCTCTAAATATCTATATATCTAGTTTTACATAAATAACGGTCATAAATTAATAAATTTGCGAATTTTTTATATATTTAGAATAGATTAAGTATAAAAATTACAAAAAAATGTACATTCAAATATATATTATATCTAATAAAAGATACGTGAAATGACAATTAAAATACAATAAATGAGTAATCAACAAATGCAATATGCAATAATTTTAAAACGATAGATACAATGAACCCGTGAATAAATATATTTTTGTATATATATAAACAGTCTTTATTTGTAAAATTGTGTACTTAGTTTTTTATTATTGAGTCACGAAAAGCAGTTACCAAATAAAAATAAAAAAAAAGTTTGAAAACTCCAAACTCAAAACATTTAATTGACATATAAACAGATTTCTAGCAAAATTGTATAGTTTCTTGGAACGACTTTATTTAATAAGTTTTATTGTAGATAAGTTTATACCATAGACA